AAGGGTACCCCCCCAATAATAGGACTTGAAGACCCAAGGGTATCCCCTAATAATGGGACTTGAGGACCCAAGGGTATATCCCCTAATAATGGGACTTGAGGACCCAAGGGTATATCCCCCAGTAATAGGACTTGAGGACCTATGGGCACCCCTATAGGGTAGCCCTCGAGAACCGATGAGTACCCCTAGAAATAGGTTCGTTCGAATAAGCTGTTCGAAGAGTTTGGCTCATTTGAAATGAGCTGTTTCAAAAGCTCGGTTCGTTCAAATGAGCTGTTCTAACAGTTCAGCTCATGTGAGATGAGCTGTTTGAGAAAGGTCAATTCGCTCAAATGAACTGTTCGAATAGTTCAGTTCGTCTCAGTGAGCGTTTTCAACGGCTCATTATTTGTAAGCTTGGGCTGAGCTTGCGTACCCCTATATATCACAGAGAAATAGAATCTCGCAATCTGATTAGTCGAAAAATGAACGAATCAGATTTCAGGAGAATTTTTCTCTCTTATTCTCAGGACAAGTGCTAGTCATGTTCGGGCCAACCCTAGGGTTATCAGAGGCGCTCTATCGAATGAGTGGTGTATGTGGGGGCTTCGCCTTGCATATCGCTGAGAAATAGAATCTCGCAATCTGATTTGCTGAAAAATGGACCAATCAGATTCCAGGAGGACTTTTCTTTCTTATTATCAAAATAAGTGCTAGTCATGTTCAGGCCGATCCTAAGGTTATCGGAGATGCTCTATCGAATGAGCGCTACATGTGAGGACTCTGCCTTATATATCACGGAGAAATACGATCGCGCAATTTCATAGGTCGAAAAATGGGCCAATCAGATTTCAGCAGATTTTTATTCTCAATCTTGAAAGTATGGGATACTGGGAACGGAAATTTGTCTGTTTGTCCGGTGTCTGATTGGTCGAATCGATGAACCAATAGGATTTCAGTGTGTCGAAAACGAGCCAATCAGATGTTTTTCTCGGTGGGGAAATCAGCCAATAGGATTACACTATAGTGAAAATGAGCCAATCACGTGTTTTTCTCGCTAGGGCATCAGCCAATAGGATTACAATATGCAGAAAACGAGCCAATCTAGTGTTTTTCTCAGTGTGGAATCAGCCAATAGGATTTCAGTATGCTGAAAACAAGCCAATCAGCTGTTGTTCTCGCTGAGGAATCAGCCAATAGGATTTCAGTATGCAAAAAATCAGCCAATCAGATGTTTTTCTCACTGGACAATCAGCCAATAGGATTATAGTATGCAGAAAATGAGACAATCAGGTGTTTTTCTCACTGCGGAATCAGCCAATATTCTCAATCCTGAAAGGATGGAGTATTGGGAACGGAAATTCGTGTGTTTGTCAGGTGTCTGATTGGTTGAATCAATGAACCGATACAATTTCAGGATCCTAAAAATCAGTAAATCAGGTGTTTCTCTCGTTCGAGAATCAGCCAATAGGATTTCAGTATGGGAAAAACCAGCCAATCTGATGTATTTTCAGTTTTGCTCTTAGCCAATCAGATTTTTTTCTTCCAAAAATCAGCCAATCAGATGTATTCTCAAATTTGCTCTTAGTCAATCAGACTTTTTTTTCCAAAAACCACCCAATCGGATGTATTTTCAATTTTACTCTCAGCCAATCAGATTTTTTCCCTCCAAAAACCAACCAATCGAATGTATTTTCAAGTTTACTAGTTGCCAATCAGGTATAGTTCACGTTTTCGCTCAACAATAGCAACACTTCGTCGTTTAGGTGTACGAGAAGTGCATGGTCGTGGTTGAGAATGATTTCGTGTAATTACGGATTTGTGTGAATAGGAGTTTTTAACACTTGTGAGGGTAGAGATGTGCTATTTGGAATGTTGATCTGAAAGCTTCGGGAGCGAGTATGGATCAGTGTTCTTGTTTGCGAGGGTGGGATGGTGCAAGATTGCGGACCGTGACTGTATGGTGTGAAGGTCATGTTTAGGTTCTGCTGGAAAATACCGCGATATTTGCCGCCGTGTTGGATTTAAGTGTCGATATCGACGAATATAGGGATTAACGTGTGTTGTGAACAGTGACAGCATCGGCGCGAGGTGATAGTGTTGTGGAATTAGGTTGTGCGCATACGGATGTGAGGTTAAGAGCGTGAAAATGAGGGTAAGCGGAGGACACAGATAAGGCTAGCTAGGAACGTAAGAGTCAAAGCATAAGCGAAAGTGTCGTGGCGGAAAGACTTTAGCGTGGGGACGTGTCATTAAAAGCTGTAATTTTATGATTGTTTGCATACGAATGATAGGATAAAGATGCCTGGATAGGCATAGAAAGACAAGTTTATCAGGATCAGGCCTTGAGGGTAACGGTGCGGATAGCGGAGTCTGAGAATAAGGATGTGAAGAGTAGGGTGGAAGAGTAGGATGGGAGAGTACGAGTGTGAGCAGATAAAGGCATCTGCAGACGGTTGCGAGAATAAAGTTGTGAATGGGGCGGTTACAGGCTCGGAATGTGAGCAGGCCGGTACGAGAATATTCGTGTGCGTAGAGAGATGGAAGTCTCATGGCACGAGCACACGGGTGATAAAATAGGAGGCGAGAAGAGTGGAGATATGGATAGGAACTAGTGCTCCTGTAAAAGTTTAAGGCCAGGAGCGTGAGGTGGCGAACGTTATTGTAGGAATGGCAGGATAGGTGTGCTAGAATAAGAGCGTGTTATTAGAGGTCTATTGTTATGGATGTAAGCGTATGATTGAGAGGATAAGGTTATGAGCAGGACGATGTGATGATAACGGTGTGAGTAGAGCGATATAAGCATCACGGTGCGTGCATGGGGATGGTAAAATAAAGGGCGAGAAAGAGGGATAAGTAAGTAGGTAGGAGTGTGTGTAAAGATGTGAGAGCAGGTGTAGCAGGATGCGACCGTTAGTGTAGTCATTAGAGAGTAAGTGTGTTATTATGAGGATGAGTGATTACGACGTTTAGATTATGCCTGTAGCATACACTTGGTAAGATCATAGTATGAGCAGGATGGTTGGGGAAGAAGTGAATCAACACAGAGATAGAAGCGCCAGGAGGCGAGCATAGACTACAAAAATAAGTGATGAAGAGGAGAGAGATATTGGTATTAACGAATTTTCCTATAAAGGTGTGAGCTGGGAGTGGAGGAATGCTGATCTTAGTGAAAGCATTAAAGTAGTGATGCGCCAGTCTTAGTCGGACCGTACTGGTGCAGCCCTACATTAAAAAATGAATGTGTTAGAATAGGCCTATGTAATTAAGGCGTACGGTTATAAATATTGGTATACGAATGGGTTTATAAGATTTGGAGCAGGTGGATGGAAGGATTATGGTGCAAGAAGAGGAACGGTACAGTGAGAATGCCAGAAGGATCAAGATATTGCTAGTAAGGGGTGTCAGGATAAGTTGTAAGCGTAGAGATTGATGAATAAGGATGTTGGCACAGGAATGAGAGAATAGCAGTGTGATTATTATTTTGTCAGGAAAACTGTGTGAAGATAAGGATGTGGATAGAAGGGAAGTAGGCGTAGGTTGGAAATAAATTGGTAGAAGGACAACAGTACGCGCATAGTTGAATGAGAATGAATATGAAATGGGATTGAGATATAGTTAGAAAGAATGCTGATGATTATTATTGTGTGTTTGCATAGGTTAGAGGATATGGGAATTAGCGTTGTCGACGTAAGATGACAACCTTAGCATATTGGTGGTAGGATAAAAGTGCGAAGGTAAGTCCACATAGTGAAGACTGGTTATGGGCGTTATCATGTGAGTGGATGCGTAAGAGCAGTAGTACAGAGATGAGAACATGAGAGTCTCAATGCGGGAGTGTCAAGGTAATCGTTTAAGAAAGGTTGGGAGGCTAAGTAAGGCACTAGAGATGTTGGAAGATGCTTGAGTCAGCATGGAGTTTGGATAATATGGTCTAAAATAAGGTCTTTAAGATTTGGTTCCTAAGAAGTTCCGGAAGTTGGTAGGAAGGAATGCCAGGATATGGGTGGTGAGTATAGGCGTCGCATAACAGACTCATTATCATAGGGGTTGGAGAGTGAAAGTATTAAGAGAATGATGTGGAATAAGATCGTGAACATAAGGATGAAAAGAAAGGAACGTGAGTAGAGAGGTAGGTAGAGAAACCGATTGCATCAGTAGTGTGTAGTGTAGGGTTTGAAGCTAAGGGCACGAGAATTAAAAGGGCACAATGATAGAGATGTTGATGGGAAGGAGTATCAAGATAAAGCTGCAAGGATAGGAGTGTCTTACTTACAATGGATGTGTTTGTACTGTTCCTCACGAAAACGGCTCATATTGGTATCAAATGAAAGTTCTCATCGCCAAACTAACAGGGTTAAAATATTAGCGGCCCTTGGTTTGTCTAGAGGGAGATATTTGAATTTTATGATACTTAGGATTTGAGTATATAGAAAACATGAGCATTATGTACATTAATTTTCTATTCAATTAACTGAGAATTTCTACAGTAGACTACAAGAATCTTTCTAAAATTTGTCAATAACATTAAGATCAAATTAGTTTCGATGTATTCTGGAATTCAAATAGAATTAATATAGATAAAGATTAACTACTATTTATCAGTATCTTTAATCTACGAATAGTTTAGGCTTTATTTTGATTGAAAACAATATATTATATAAGATACTATTTTAACAAATATACTACAAGTGCAGATGTAGTTCTTCAATGAGATGATAATAATAAAGAGCTTTTTTGCACCAAGCACACATTAATAGTATTCGTTCAGTACAATTGTTAGTTGAACAATACAAATTATAGAACTTGAAGCAGATGTCTTTCGGCTTTTCAATCTGTCCAATTGTTTCATTTGTTATTTCAGCTTGTATAAATCCATTCTTAATGAGATTTTTAAATTGTCGAGCTGATAATTGATTATGAATAACAGAATGTATGTTGATAAAATACTGACGATCACTTATGGTAATTTCTGTACGATTCATATGAACATAATGTTCGATTTTTTCATGAATAAATCGCTATGAACAGAACAACGAAAGATCTTGTGGTTGAATATAATCAGCTGATCCTTCAGGAAAAATTAATAATTGACTGTCTTGATTCGGAAATACTGCTCTAAATTTTGTTAGATCAGCTTGTGTTTTCCAAGAACCAAGGAATGGGAGAAATTTTCTACCAGCCAATGGACGTAGAACTTCATTTAAAAAAATATGATGTTTTTCAATGGTACTTTTTCCTGATTTTGAAGCTCTTACTACAACATTTGGTGGTACAATTAAATCTTTTTGCACTCTTTTACCGAATTCATTTTCTTTTACCTGAAGGATGAGAAAGAATTTGTTTAATAAATGGCCGTCGGCTGATGTAACAGGTTGTACTGTATACGAGTGCGTTAAGTTGTACTTTTTTTTAACAGTCACTTCTGTTGTTCGTTCACCAGTAAAGGAGAGAGTTCTTGGCGACACATATTCTTGTTGAAATGAACAATAATCACTGTTTAAAATTTGATGAGAAGCATACTTTGATATGACAGTTCTTTTACTTTCGATCCAATTTTTAGCATCTAAAATATATAAGTATATCATATTAAGATATAGGCCTTTTAAGTTCAAACAAAAGTTTAATTACCATTTAAATTACAGATATTTCTATTTAATTTAGTTCGAGTAATAATTTTATTATATCTTCTTCATGATATTTTATTTTCTCTTTTAAAAGTATTTATAAAAGATTTGCTTGCCTTGGATTCATCATAATCCAATTCTCTTGCTTTTTGAATTGCATAAAGTTCAAGATCATCATCATGAACGGTTTCTTTTTCAATTGTTCTCTTCAGATAAAATTCGTTAAACATAAATTCTTTAATTTGTTTTAATTTGTCTAGTCTTGTTCTCTTGTTTCCAATATATTCTCTAAATCTTCTGATATATTTCATGGATTTAACCTTTTTAAATCGATGGGAAATAGATGCAAATTTGGCATTCGGATGTTGGTCAACCCATTCGATTATGTTTTTCATTTCTTCTAATGTAAACTGATTTTGTATACCAAAATTTTCCTTCTCATTGTAATCGTCGTTGTCATTATCACTCTCTTCTGTATCAGTGATTTCATCATATTCATCGTCAATATCGAGAGTATCATAAGTATACAGTTCACTAAAGTAGCTATCTTTAAATGACTTCAGAACTTCAAATAATCGTTCTGCAGTAAAAATTTCATCAGTAGTTGTTGAAGAATTTTGAGATCCATATTCAGTTTGAGCCAAATAGACAAGATGTTTAGGGGTATTCAATATATTCCTGATTTAATATGACAAAATAAAGTTGTTTATACGATAGATAGAGCAGAAAACAAAAAAGAACAACTATTAGATAGTGTATTTCTTTCTGATTCCTTAACACCAATTGAAAAGAAATGATAAATAGACCATCAAGTGATGCGTCAATGCACTTTAATTTCAAATTTTATATACAAGTCATTTTTCAAAAGCATCATATATCTAATCTTTCATTGCGATACTATCTCGGTTCTAGAATACATCGAAACTAATTTGATCTTAATGTTATTGACAAATTTTAGAAAGATTCTTGTAGTCTACTGTAGAAATTCTCAGTTAATTGAATAGAAAATTAATGTACATAATGCTCATGTTTTCTATATACTCAAATCCTAAGTATCATAAAATTCAAATATCTCCCTCTAGACAAACCAAGGGCCGCTAATATTTTAACCCTGTTAGTTTGGCGATGAGAACTTTCATTTGATACCAATATGAGCCGTTTTCGTGAGGAACAGTACAAACACCTCCATTGTAAGTGATATTTTTTACTTCAGAACATCGATGATGATGATGAACGAGATAATATGGAGGAATACAACCTCGAAGAAAGTGACAACAGCAATTACAGCGAGGGATACGACGATCCACCTACCACGGTCAACGTTCCAACACCACCAAAAAAAGCATCTCAAGAAAATATTTTAGACAATAATGATGATGTTCAATCTCGCCATGAACTTTATAAAGAATTGTATCGGTTAGTATTGGCGAAATGTAAATACAAACAACTGACGAACAAAAACAATGAAACATACGAATGGCCACCAATAGTGAAGCAAATTATTCGATGCCGATATCCGAGCGATATTCATGATTATGTTTGCTACAAGCAACCAACAGTATCATTTACATTGGACAGCTTTATCGATCTTTTTGCTATGTAATGATTAGTTTTTTATTTTTTGTTCTCATTAAATCGTAAAATATCAATTTTCGCTTTTTTGTGTTAAAATGAAATTGTTATGATCTGGTTTCCATCATTTAGGCAGCCTTGCAAAAGTATCGTTATAGCATTGGAGTATCACTACTGGTTTGTATGGGTGCTAGTCAGCACTGGTACTGGTCAGCACTGGTACTGGTCAGCTCAGGTACTGTCCAGTACTGATATCGATCACTAACAATCTGTATCACTACTCTAGTAGTGCACTGCTACTGTTGCAACCCTACATCCAGTGATAAAACTGAACAATGGCTGGCGCTTAGATACATGAAGTTTTCATTGCATAAAAACAACTTTCAAAATCTTCGTACAGCCACTCAAACCGCTTCGAAACATATTATTTGATAGCAGGATGGTTTTCTAATGCTTGAATCAAAATTTGAACGATATTAGTTCACGGTAACTAAGGAAAAAGTCACTAAAATTAGACAATTTCTGCGATGACTTCAAATAAACGCGCCAAAACTGGCCTAAATATGTATCATTCATATATAATTTATATATATTCTGAAAGAGGACACTCAGGGCTACAAGATTATGTGTTTTTTGGAAAATCGAATTTTCTAAGAAAAATCGACTTTCAGAGTGGGGGTTCCCCCTTAAAATAAAACATGGAATTTCATGCATCTTGTAAACTACGATTTAGTCAATTCAGATGAAAATTTTATCATTGGGTTTCGTTTGACCAAGTTCTTCTAATGTTTCAGTATTTTGTGGAACAACTGTTGACGAAGCATAGCTTGAGATATCGACTCCATTGTTTTTTTCAATTTCGAGTTCATCTTTTATGAATTTATACGTACTTTTTAATCCTTGGCTTAATTTAGTTGAAGGTGCCCACCTCAACACTTTTTTTATTAACGTGTTGTCAGAATTTCTCCCTCTAACACCTTCCGGTCCAGGAATATGTTTGAGTTTAACAGTAACTTGATCAATGCTACATATTATATCTATCATATCATTGACAGAAACCATTTCATCTGAACCTATGTTCAGAGGTAGAGTATAATCTGACTGCATGAGACGCATTATTCCATCGATACAATCTTGGATATAACAAAACGATCGCGTTTGATTCCCGTCTCCCCATACACTAACGACTCCCTGATTGTTTCCTTCATGTGCCACTAATACTTTACGACAAAGTGCTGCTGGAGCTTTCTCTCGGCCACCTTTCCACTGTCCTTGGGGTCCATAAATGTTGTGAAATCGCGCAATTCTTGTTTGGATCTTTGGAAAATCTTTTGCATAATTCATCACAACTTCTTCTGCTACTAATTTTTCTAGGCCGTAGGAATCTTGTGGTTTTGCAGGCCATGCTTGTTCCTCTTTGAGAGCAATGGCGTGTTCTTTCGTTTGGATATGCTCGGGATAGACGCATGCAGAAGAAGCATAAAAAAATCTCTGAATTTTATTTCGTCTAGCAGCTTCTATCATATTGAACGAAATCATTGTATTATTGAATAAAATTACTGAGCTATTTGATTGAATAAATCCCATTCCTCCCATATCAGCTGCTAAATTGAAAATCCAGTCACATTCTTTAGTTGCAATCAAACAATTCTCCAATACACGCAAATCTATATGCAAAAATTCATGACAAAAATCCTCTTTGTTGAGATATTCATTTTTCTTCCAATCAGCACAAATAACATAATGACCATCTTGTAGCAAGCGGCGAGCTAAGTGACTACCAATGAAACCGGCTCCTCCTGCGACCAATATTCGAAGTTGACTGCTGATACTAAAGGGATAGTCGATTAGTTTCATTGTATGCCCTTGTTCTGATGTTGTCAGCTGTTTCACCTCCATGTTTGAATCACCATTTCCTAACAATATGATATGAATATACGGATTTGTTTTCTCAGCTTCTTCCTTATTCAATAATCGCCAACTATCAATTACATATAAAAGTTTTTCTCTTGAATAACTGAGTACGATATTTTTCCAGCTATCGGAAGCAGTTGCAATCAACAAGATATCAATGTTATGTTCGTAAAGCAGTTTATCAGGCGAACTAACAAATTCAACACGCCTATTACATATTTGAGAAGCCAACGGTATAGCTAACGGATCGTACGCAAAAACATCAAAACTGTTAATAAGCTTGTTAGCCAGGGCACAAGCTGGTGAACATTCCACAACAGGCGTATCCGGTTTGTAAGATAATCCCAATATACCAATTTTCGGTCTAATATTAGGATTATTACCAAAATGAAGTTTGGCTATCAGTTCACATTTTCTGAGTAGCCTTTTAATTTGATAATTATTCAATTGATCAGTCGCTTCAGCTAGTAAGGCATTAACGAACAGAGACTTTGCTAAGGCAACAAAAGCACGATTATCTCTCGGAAAGCATGGTCCCCCATATGGCAGAGCGCCTTTTAAGTATTTACTTCCAATACGAGAATCACAACCAATGGCAGTATTAACAATATTTGCATCAGCTCCTGGTAGCTTTTCGCATAATTCACTGAGCATATTAGCATAGGTTATCTTAGTTGTCACATAAGTATTGAGAGAAATTTTGGTTATTTCTGCATTAATGAAGTTCATTCTTTGAAATGATAATGAATGTTTAGATATTATCTTCGAGTAGAATGCTTGTAAGGTATCTCCAATACGTTCATCACTCTCACCAATCAAGATAAAGTCGGGATTTAACATATCTCTAATAATCTGACCTAATGCAATAAACTCAGGATTGTAGGCTAAACCAACTTCATTATCTTTGGGACCAATTTTTCGGCCAGATGACGATTCCAGAGTACTACGAATAATCCCATCCATTGAGCCGGGCATCACTGTTGATACAACAACTACTTGATGATATTTATTACACGACTTAATCACTTCTCCAACAGGCTCAATAGCCGAAAGTACGTAGTCATTGCTGAAAAATCCTGTCTGTGAATCTGATGGCGTTGGAACGATAATCATTGTCATATCTGTCTCACTCACGGCTCTGTAATAATCCATCGTACCTTCGATGTTAGCTTTGTACTGGGTAATGAGTTCTTGTAGTCCGGGTTCATTTACAGGTGCTTCTCCTCTTTGCAAAGCGTCCACGAATTGTTTGTTTACATCCAAACCAATCACATGATGGCCCTTGGATGCAAATACAGCGACCATGGGACTACCCAGTTTACCTAAACCTATCACACTGATACGAAGATCGGTGTTAGCCATGCTTTCCGAATGTGGTCAAAATTAATGTACAAGGAATTATCTAAATTAGTTGAAAAGACTCTTTATATATATAAACAGGAAAAAGTAAAATGTGCTGATTAAAATGTCAACTGTTTGACTTCGAAAGATCGGACCATTCGATCAGGATATCGTTTTTGTTTTGCTAGAAAATGGTTACCCTGAACAAAGTCATGCAAAGCAAGGAGAAATCGAAAAAAAGATATACATTGATGTAGTGGCGGGGACAGGATTTTGGACTACAAGGGACTGAGGATGGATAAGCCCCTTTTTAGAGGCCTTTGAGCCCCCTTGGTGACTAAAATGCATGGTTTGAAAGTTTTCTTGGGATGGGGCTCAAAATTTTCTGGGTAGCTTAACCCTCCCCCCAGCCAACCACTGAATCCGCCACTACTTTGAAGTCTGTTTATTCTTGCTCCATTTTCTCTTGTAAAAGTAGAAATTAATTAAATGATTGTGCGTGTTAATTGACAGAGTGTCGATGTGGTCAATGACTTAAACAAATGCTAATTGTCGCTAACAGAACCGATTAACTTAATTCTATAGGGATAGAAGTATTTCTGGTTAACCCTTTCCAGCCGGCTACTAGAAGACAAGTAACAAAAAAGTCTTTTTATGGATTTTCGTTGCTCCTAGACCATGGAGATAGGAAAAGTTTATTTCTCAGAGTCAATAAGTGCTTCGGCATCTAATGGCTTCATGTATCCATTTGGATACATCCGGCCACTAAGGGACAAAAATTTTGAAAAAGTCATTTCTTTTTGTCCAGCAAAATTTGATATTTTATGGTTTTTCTTACATCTATATTTGTAGATGAAATCACACGTTGCCTGTTTGTCGATGTTTTACAGTCCAAAGCTTAAATATTTCTAGAATGTTCTAAGATTCTGCAGTATAGTGCAATAGTAGCTCAATTTTTTTCGACAAGTTTTAGAAATTCAGAAACATTCTAAAGAGTTTCTGAACATTTTCTAGTGTTCCAAACTAGGCTATCACGAAATATTCAGCAACTCTCTACAGTATTCCTGAATTTATAGAAATTTTCGAAAAAAATTGAGCTACTATTGCACTATACTGCAGAATCTTAGAACATTCTAGAAATATTTAAGCTTTGGACTGTAAAACATCGACAAACAGGCAACATGTGATTTCATCTACAAATATAGATGTAAGAAAAACCATAGAATATAAAATTTTGCTGGACAAAAAGAAATGACTTTTTCAAAATTTTTGTCCCTTAGTGGCCGGATGTATCCAAACGGATACATTCCCATTTTTTATTATTCGGATTTTTTAAATTATCCGTCTTAGTGGTCCAATAGACAGTAGGTCTATGAAGGAAAATTAACAACTGCTTGCTTCGAAGTTTGATTATTTAGAGACGCGAGAAAAGGATTATTTCTATACGGATGCTATTTTAGAGTATTTTGGATAGAGCCGGCCATTTTCTTAGCGAGTGTTATTTCCTTCTTCTAAACACGTGAATGTGTGTTGAAATGTGTTAACTTATTTATCAAATCGTCAAAACATTTCATATCATCGCTACAAGTTACTTCTTCGTAAAACATTGGCTCCATGTATCCAAATGGATACATCCGGCTGTAAAGGGTTAAAATGCAACAATATCTCGATTTTTGAGGCTACTTTCTACCTCTCTTGGTATCTAAAAAGCTTCTTTACTTGGTTTACCTTTTGTATAGCTTTTCAAAAGAGACTTTTTAAAATAAGCCGCCCCACCCCCCCACCTTCAAAATTTCAAAGGAGAGCAGTCGTTAAGAACGTAAATCTGTCCCCTCGAAAAATATAGTTTAACCTATCTTAAACCGCTGTAGCCAATGTCCAAATATCGTTTCTAGTCGATTTATTCCTGCAACTCATGTTTTTCCTCTTAATAAATGGATAGAATTAGTCCATAAACATTGACTTTCACCTTTGATGCTAATCAGACTTTTTATCATATAAGATGATGTTTGATCGAGCTAGTATTTCCATAGTTTGATAGCGCTTGAAACGGGCTACAAGATGGTATATGGACACATAGGAGAAATGTGGACTGATACGAATTCATATGTGTCACATCCCCATAATGTATGTACACGATCAAGGGGGAAGCAGCAGACTTCACGACTCCATGACTTCACTTGACTCCATGTGACTTCATTTCCATGGAGTCAGTCATTTTCCTCTTCACAATGTTAATCAGTATTCGGAAGTTGTATTTCCAAAATACAACAAAATTGTTCTTCTTTCGGAATACAACTTCCGCGTACTGGATAGACATGCACCAAAACCAAAAGCTTTGGTTTTGAAGGTATTGGTTTTGGTTTTTCTCAATCCTGAAAGGCTGAATATAGATAACGAAAATTATGCCTGTTTGTCCGCACTCTTTGTTGATCGAGAATTGAATGCTTGTTTTTCGGCCATCAATGCGAGTTTTCAAGGTTTTTCTCAAAGCTGATATAAGTGTTCTAGACCGATGAACTCGAATTTGCGCTCCATTTTCTTCGCAATCCTATTGGTGGACTAGTATCCAATAGAAGTTGAGTTTTCCGTAAAATGGTTTTCTCAAGGTAATTCGAGATGGTGATTTCGAATTTGGGCTGCAGTATTCTTGAAATCTTATTAGTGGATCAGGAACTAATAGAAATCGAGTTTTTCAAAAAATGACTCCAGGTAGGTAATTCGAGGTAGGGAGCAGATTTGGTAACTCTTCCCCTTTTTGTGGAAAGTTTTCGCTTGTCCGCTTTTTCATATAACATAAATGTTTTTCCATTCCTCTTTCTTACACGCTATCGATTAGACGTATTTTTTCGTATTCTTTTTCTTGTTTGCCCTGAAAGGTCAAACAAGGACCATTTTAAAATTATAATATATATATATATATATATATATATATATATCTATTTATATACTTAACTAATAAACTATTAAAATACCACCAAACTATTAATTAATAAATCAATCAATAAAAACCGTTCTATCTGACAACACCATTACCATGCCGCCAAAGAGAGGCGGAGGTGTTCGAGGAAGGAAAAAAGGTGAACAAGATAATTCAAGGACAGGAACACCAATCATCAACGCATCACAGCGATCTGCAATTGAAGATGAACAACAACAATCATCAAATATGAAAGAGCAATTTAGAATTGCACCATTGATTGTTGAAGTGGAGTCACTCACCAAAATTAAATTAAGTCATCTCATCAAAACTCATTTACCAGATGTCAGAGTTATGAATATACAAGCAAATCGATCAAATTCATTTACACTTTATGCAAATGATGTAAAATCATTTAATCAATTATTGGTTGAACTACCGAACGTTATTCAAACCAACGAAAAGAAATGTTCTTCCGTATATATCCCACGTTCTATTAAAAGAATAATGGAAAATAATAAAGAAGCATTTGTCAAGATGGTTGATTTAGAAATAAGGGATGAAGATATTAAAGGAGCATTAGATGATCAAGGTTTTAAATATGAAAAAATTACTCGATTGTTAAATAAGGAGAAAATTCCAACTAAAACAATTAAAATCACATTTATAGATTCAACAAATAGAGACTTATTTGTTAAAGTTGGATTACAAATCGATTCCATGCATTTTATTGCTGAAGCAGCAAATCATAATAACAAACCATCACAATGCTATAAATGTTTAAAATATGGTCATATAGCTAAATATTGTAAATCAGATATTCAAATTTGTTTTAGATGTGGTGATACAAACCATAAATATGATACATGTCCAAATAGTAATCAAAATCCTATGTGTTGTAACTGCAAAGGACAACATATAGCAACATCTTCTGAATGTCCGAAATATAAAGAATATCAACAAAAGTTACAACGAACAATTGATCAATATACATCAACAGCAAAAACAATAAATCCAGTTCAACAAAGTCGTAATTGGAACAACAACGACGATTTCCCTACTCTCAAAACTCCTGAGAGATCTGAAGAAATAAAAATGATCGAAACAATCACCGAACAAATTACGTTAATTGTTGAACAAGCAACACAACGATTATTCAAAACTCTTAATCAAAGATTTGAAATATTGACCAATCGACTCAGCAAGAAATTTAATATTGATATAAAAGAAGTCTTTACTGAAGAAGAAGAAGAAGATGATAAACAAGAATCAAGATCAAATAAAAAGCAGACAATTAATCAACAGCAAGAAATAAAGAAATCAACCAAGAAACATCAAGAAGAAAATATTGAATCTACTTCAACTTCAACTAATGGAATTAAAAGGAAATACATTGCACCAAATAAATCATCAGGCAATCCAACAAACTCAACCAAAGTTACTAGAAATCAGTTTGATAGTAATATCGAAGAATATATTCTATCAACAAACTGATTAAAATTATGCATTGTAACATCACTTCGATTAAAAAGCACAAAGAAGAACTATGTGTACGTTTTAAAAACTTCGATATACTATCAATCAATGAAACGAATCTCAAACCTCAACATCATTTTTCATTCCCAGGGTACAATATTTTTAGAAACGACAGAAGAGATCGACAAAGTGGTGGAGTGATGCTGGCAATACGAAATAATATAAAATGTTATGAAAA